TCCTGAAAGTTGTTCTCTTATCTCCACATGAGCACAGTAACACATGCAGTTTAAATACACAGATACACACTGTTTTTAAGGAGATGGGGAAAATCTCAGGAAGGGTGATTTGTCAAAGGCAAAGAACCTTAGTATGCCTAAGGAATGGACGAGAATCTTGCTCTGGGGTCTTGGGTGGAACAGGGGTGGAACAGGGAGCCACTGAGCTATGGGCAGGCAGGGAAGTGTTGGTAGTTCTGCAGATGAGACGCATGGAGCAGGCAGTCAGTGGAGCTGCCCTCCATTTCCCTCCATCATGGCATGTTACATGCAGATAGCCTGCACAAACTGAACAGGGAGGCTTTGAAACCCCAGAGATGCTATCTGTGAGCCCAAGAAAAATGCAGCTCATACTCCATGCTGCCAAGGTTCTGTGAGATAGGAAGGAACTGTGCATATTTCAGCTCTCCCAGCTATAAACCTTCAGCTGGATTCTGATTGTGTGAATACACATTCTGCTCTCAAACATGTAGTGTTGCAGCATGTGCAACACTGGCTTAAACAAGCATGCTTGGACAATGCAGTGAAACAAAATCTTAGGAGCACAGGCACTGTCATATTCTTTCCTGGACTCATGTGGCTTGTTGCATCTCCTTCCCTTGACCTGACCACTGAACCTCACCACCATTAAGATCTCCTTCACATCACAAAGTTCATACAGATTTATACAAATCAAAGTGATGAGAAGAACTGGTCAAGGTTCTTAGTGGTCAGGCAGGACAGGGACAAAGGAAGAGAGAAAAGGCAGAAGGCTCCAAAGTAGGACCCTCACTGAGTCACTGAGTCTGTCAGGTCAGTTTGTGGACAACCACCTATTAGATCAGTCACTTTTTTCCCCCTAAGAAAACTATTTTCCTAGAATAGGAATTCTAAATTTAATTTTTAAGCTGCTCACCATGTGGAAGCCATGCATAACCCAATGGAATATATAGTGCATGAAAGCTTATTTTTTGCTTGTTATTTACAAAAAGTAATATGCAGCCCTTAGCAAAAAAAAATCTAGAAATGGAGAAAAGCTGAGGGGGTAATATTACTTCTAGGTCTACTGACAGTCATATGAGAGCTAAATATTTAATGTTGCGCTAAAGCAAGCCCTTTTTTCCCCAGTTGATTTTGTTGAAGATGAACTAATAAAAGCCAAAAGTTTAAAAGAAAATTGTGTGGGACTTAACTGATGGGGGATGTCCTTCTGTGTATGTTTCTCTTATTGGTTGATGAACAAAACACTGGCCAACAGCCAGGCAGAAAGCATAGGCAGGGCTACCAGACTAGAAGAAGGCTGGGGAGAGGAAGCAGAGAGCAGATGCCATGTAGAGGAGGAAGGAGTGACAGGTCTGGACCCTTCTCAGATAAGATAAGACCACATGGAAACACTTAGATTAATAGAAATGGGTTAATAATTAAGACAGAGCTAGCCAGTATGAAGCTCTAGCCATCGCCCGACAATTTTATAATTAAAACACCGTTTCTGTGCTTATTTGGGGCTGAAGGGCGGTGGGACCTGGTGGAACAGAAACCTCCATCTTCACTTAACCACTCTCTTCTCGATTCTACCATTAGCAACTCATCATTTAGGTGAGCAAGGTCCTTCCCAACATGTTTGCTGGGGTGGAGAGAGCATAGAGGACAGCTTTACTGAGATACAGTTCACAAGTCAATCAAGTTGCTATTTTATAAGTTTGATGCAATAGCTTTGAGTACATTCAGAGTGGTACAGTCATCACATCAATCAGTTTGTCACCTCAAGAACACACCCCTATCTTACACTGGTACCTTGCCTTGTGTCTGTAGACTCAGTCAGAGTGGTACAGTCATCACATCAATCAGTTTGCCCCCCTAAGAACACACTCCTATCCCACCTTGCCTTGTGTCTGTAGATGCAGCTAAGGAGGGCTAAGGCAAAGGACCACTTGAATACAAGACTAGCAAGACCCTATCTTAAGAACTAAAATTAAAAAGGCCTTCTACCCAATCTTCTAGCTATCACTCCCCTCACTCCATCCCTGGGCAACAATTAATCTACTTTCTATCTTCATAAACTTTTTCTCTTCTGAATATTAGCAGGAGCATATCACTTAGGGTAAGCCTTTTAAGGCTCAACCTTATAACATTCTCAGTATTTTGCTCCTTTTAATTGTCAAGTAATATTCCATTGTACAGAGATATACCACATTTTTTTAACTCAGCTGATAGACATCTGGGTTAGACTGTATTCTATTTTAGGATGTCACAGTTAATGCTGGCATGGACAGTGAAAGTTTCTGCGGGAACTTATGTTCTCATTTCTCCTGGGAGTGGAATTCATCTGTTTTATGGAAATTCTACATTTAAACTTTTGAGAAGCATCAGACTGGCTTCCTCCATGGCTCCCCCACATGAACCGCTCATCTTTAAAATGTAGAATGGGAGGCTTGGGCACGCCTTTAATCCCAGCACTGGGGAGGCAGAGGCAGGAGGATCTCTGTGAACTCAAGGACAACCAGGATCATTACACAGAAAAACCCTGTCTTGAAAACCAAAATCCAAACAAAAAACAAAACACAAATAAATAAATATTCAAATAAATGTTCAAATAAATGTTCAAATAAATAAATAAATAAATAAATAAATAAATAAATAGCCGGGCATTGGTGGTGCATGCCTTTAGTCCCAGCACTCAGGAGGCAGAGGCAGGTGGATCTCTATGAGTTCAAGGCCAGCCTGTTCTACAGAGTGAGTGCCAGGATAGGCTCTAGTGCCACAGAGAAACCCTGTCTCAAAAAAAAAAAAAAAACAACAATAAATAAATAAATAAAATGTAGAGTTTTCATCTTCCATGTTTTCAGGTGCTCACTCTCAGCTATGATCCCAAAATGTTAAATGGAAAATTAAAAAAAATAAATGATTCTTAAGTTTGAAGTTGTTTGCTGCTCTAAATCACATAATAAAATCACATACAGTATGCCCTCATCCCACCCCAGATGTGAACCACCCTTCCTCCATTGTATCCATGACATACATGGGACCTGCCCACTCAATACCTGGTATCATCTTAGTTATCAAATTAACTATCTCAGATCACAACACTTTAGGTTCAAACAATCCATATTTTACTTAGTAACAGCCACAAGCAGCAAGGAAAGCAAAGCAAAATTGGACATAGTGGTACATATCCAAGATCACCAGCTACCTATCTGGGAGGCTGAGATGGGAGAATCACAAGCTCCAGGTCAGCCTGGGCTACAGAGAGAGAGAGACCCTGTAGGCAGCAGGGTGTAGGAGGGCAGACAGCTGTACTCTGGTGCTATGTGGTGGCACTGCAGGGCACAAGGGGAGAAGCACAGGACTTCGGGGTTCACTGTCCCTATGTGGTGATGGCAGTGGTGAGTACCATGTGTGATTTAAGGTAGCACTGGAGTCTTGAGAACATACTAGCAGATATCGGGACTACTGCAGAGACATCTGTGTGTGACATGTCATCACGCTTTCCTAACAATAGCTAATGGCATTAACTGAGCATCTTCCCGTGCACCCAATGGAAAGTTTAGCCCAACTAAGTTTAAATAAAAAAGCAAGTCCTAGGAGCTGGAGAGATAGCTCAGAAGTAAAGAACACACTCACTGGCTGTTCGTCCAGAGGTCCTGGTTTCCCAACAACCATGTAGTGACTAACAACCAGCTAACTCTAGTCCCAGAGGACCCAACACCCTATTTTGGCCTCTGAAGGCACTGCATACACATGCTGTATAAATAACACTTGCAGGCAAAATAGCCAAACACATAAAAGAAAAATAAATAAATCTTAAAAATTATACTGCAAGTCCTCTGCATAGGGCCAATATCTGAATTCAAATGTCTTTTATAGTTAAACTGTCCTGGGCAAGTCACCTTTTATGAGCTTTATATTTCTGATTTACATACAGATAGTAATCTAACTACCAGAGAGGGAACACTGGGATGTATATAGTATGTCTAACACACAGTTGGGCACTCATACCCAGCACACAACAGTTACTAACGACAGACTTGATTTTAACACTTTGTAACCCATAAATCCTTTGAAACAGTTCAACACACAGGGAGATGCTAAGACTGGCAGAAGAGAAGTTGAGAACACGGGGCAGAGAGAGCTAAAAGAGGTAGAGGGAGCGGCAGAGGACTAGACCTGCAGTTAGAATAGTCCAATTTCAGCCTTCTTTTAACTATCATGTCAAAGTCAGTTTTCAATTTGCTCCTCCCCTGTCAATACCGCTCAGAGCAGAAAGGGAAGGAGAGCAGCGGCTCCAAATCCAGAGTGAAGACAGGCTGTTCTGACAGGGTCCAAATCGTACAGTGCCACAGGTAAGAATAACAAGAGACACTTCACAGAAAAAGTCCGTTTGCCATTCAACACCCAAAGAAGAGTCGAGCCAAAAAGAAAGAGAAAAGCCTTCAGGCCTCCCCAAAATTGGCATGGTTCCAGACCATTTATTTAGACAGTGCACAGTCAGAGAGCAATCAGACCTTTTGGCATTTGTTCTTCCTACTGGGTCCCCTGCTTTGGAGACCCAGAATGTATTGCTACCACTTGACAGGTGCAAAGCCAGAGCAAGCTCTACATCCCTGCTGCACAACTGTGCAGATCACTATCTACCCTGGTGTTTTTAATAGATGAAACTGCAGACCCTTCTCCAAACCCCTGAAGCTGTCAATGTGTGACAGGCTTGCATTTTTCAATTTCTTCTGAGGTCCTTCTGGACAAGCTGTCACTGACTTAAAATAACCCCCTTGTTCCTGGGGCTGGAGTGATCACTCGGCAATTAAGAATACTTGTTCTCGCAGAGGACCTGGGTTCAGTTCCTAGCAGTCACATAGTTGCTAACAAATAATCTGTAACTCTAGTTCTGGGGGACGTGATGCCCTCTTCTGGCATCCATGGACATTGAACTCGCTTGGTTTTAACCTAGATACATGCAAAACATCCATTCACATAAAATAAAATCATTTTTTAAAAAAATACAGCAGAACATACACTAGAGTTGGAAGAATACAGAGAAGGTTAGCATGGCCGATGCACGAGAATAACATGCAAATTTGTGAGGTGCTTCATATTTTTTAAAATCCCTCTTTTTTTTTTTTACTGTTAGCATTTATTAAAGTTACCTACAATTCTATAGGAATACATTGCTATACTCATGTCCCTCATTCACTAAACACAAGCAAGTACTGGTCCTACTATATCCCCATTCATCAGAATATAAAGCCTCAAATCCCACCATAATTTTTTTCCAGATTAACATTTCTATATTCTGTTTCATAAGCTGGTCAGCATGGTTTTATACTGTTTTTATAGTGAAAGAATGGAAATTACCTATGTATCTGCCCTCAAAAAAGAGCTATGCCAGATACAGGGTTTCTATTTGATTGAATAATCTACAGATTCCAAGCTTAAATGTTTATGGAATGAGAACCAGGCAAGATGTATATTGTTTCTAAAATATAACCTCCTAGATGGCAAGACACTATTGCTGAAGACACCATATGCTTTGACTGCGGGATATAGAAAAATCTAACTATAACTGAGATGGAAGCTCCCTCCCTGTGGTCAAGCCTCTATAGTGCTGAAATGTGCTAGCAGGCTGCTGGATGGAGAGAAGTCATCAATGTTACCCAACAGTGGATCCTGCATACTACAAAAACTGCCAGGCAAGAGATCTCCACTGTCACAATAGTGGCATGATTGCTACAGGGGTAACCAACCACTTTCTGTTTGAGGCCTGCTCCTTAAAAGGAATTCATAACTAGTACTATAAACCATAACTGCCAGAGGGGAACCTACCTCTGTTGTTTTCTAAATGGCCATGTTGTTAAACTGCCTTCTAAATATTTATGTTTATTCCTTAACATTATTCTAGCTTTCAACTTTGGCCAGAGAAGCTTCTTTTCGAGTGGGCAATGGCTAATGTAGAAACTCATAACTAGTCAAAGTTACTGTTGAGTGCTCAGCCTTAAACAGGACACCTCCCTCTCTCCCTCTTTCACACACACATACCAAGGCCCAGGGACATCTGGAAGAAGAGATAAAAAGATTATAAGAGCTGGAGGCTGGGGAGGAGTACTGTGAAACACTGCCTGGACTGGACATGGCCATTAAATCCGTGAACTCACAGCAGCTGTGGCTACCTGCACAGGATCAAGCCTGCCAACATTCCAGCAAGGATGGAAGGGAAAGGATCTAAGGCCCTGCCCCTAACTGAGGAGCTATTGGCAACTGGCTGTTGGGAGATGGAGAATAACTTTTCTTAGTGCCATAGCCACTAGTGAGTTGCTCAAGATCACACAAGCAGCATTAATCATTAAGAAATAAAATAAAAGACATGGAAGTAGTGGGAAAGGTTGATGGGAAGAAGGGGTCCAGAGGGAATGAGGGAACCAGAGAGGGAAACAGGGTATGTGTGTGTGAACAGAATCAAAATGTATTATGTACATGTATGAAGTTGTCAAATAAATAAAAATACACATGCATGCAGGCAAACATGTGCATGCGCACACACAGGCCCCCTCAATCATGTTTATAAAATACAAGAAATGAATTGATAAAATCAGATCAAGAATGTTAACTCTAAAGTTCTGAAATCTTGAATGTTATCTCTTCTGCCTGCTTCTGTGAAGACCCTGCTCACTGTGGAAAATTCAAAAAATAAAGCAGGCTGGGGGTGTGGCTCAGTTAGCATGGGGCTTGCCTAGCATATGCAAGGCACTGAGCTTGACGCCCAGCACCTTATAAACCAAGAGTGTGGTGCACACCTGTAATCCCAGCATCTGGAAAACAGAGGCAGAAGAGTCAGAGCTTCAAGGCCATCCTCAGCAACACAGGGGTTTGAGGCTAGCCTGGGATACCCGGGGTCCTGAAGAAGGAGGGAAGGAAAGAGGAAAAGAAGGGGAAGGAATGGAATAAGGAAGGAGGGAACCATAAAGATGTAAATTACCCATAACCACCACCACTGATACTAATTTAGTGTTCTTCCACCTGTTACTTATGTAAGAATTAAAATTCATAAATACATTTTGTACATATTGCTTACAAAGGTTTTTGGCCTTTAAGATGGGGGAGTATGTGAAATGCTTAGACAAGTGTAGAAGATGGAGCAAGGGAAAACATGGAGACTGTGTGTACAGGGTGGCTGAAGGTAGCTTGCTCATTGTGCCGTGCACCCTGACACACTGCACCATATCAAGTATGCCTACTCGAGACAGGGGTGCCCTCCCAGCCTTTTCCTGAGGCTCCAGAAGGCACACAGAGTGAAATGAACATGGGCACCTCACCTACTTATTTACTTAATTGTTTTATTATTTTGAGCTTTTGAGGCAGGGTCTCACTATGTAGCCCTGGCTGACCTGGTAGTCATAACAATTCTCCTGCCTCACCCTCCTAAGTGTTGTGTATCACCTTCCTTCTTTAAAAAACAAAAACAAGATTTTCTTTAATGGTGTGTGTGTGTGTGTGTGTGTGTGTGTGTGTGTGTGGTGTGTGTGTGTGTGTGTGTTTAATGCAGGTACATGTGGAGTCCAGAAGAAGGCATGGTATCCCTGGAGCTTGAGTTAAAGAAGGCTGTGAGCCACCTGCCATGGGTCCTCTATAAGAACATTTCTCACTCTTAATCACTAAGCTATCTCTCTAGTGCCCCGCCCTTCCCTCTCCCTCCCTCTCCCCCTTCTCTCAATTTATTGTTTTGCGTGTATGAATATTTTGTCTGCATATCTGGCATATTTGGTACCCGCAGAGGTCAGAAGAGTATGTTAGATTCCCTGGAACTTGAGTTACATAGAGATGTGAGCTGGCATGTAGTACTGGGAACTGAACCTGGATCGTCTGAAAGGAGAGCAAGCATTCTTAACTATTGAGCCATTGCTCCAGCCCCCAATTTCTTTATTCTCCAACTTCTTGTACATTGAAGTAATTCTTCTATCCTAGTGAAAAAAAATGAGTTTAAACTACTTTCCTCAAGGTCACCATAACCCCAAGCATTTGTTAGGCAATTTCCCTTTAATCAATCTCAGCCTCTATCCCACCCCCACTCCTACTAGGCTGCCTGGAGGGGAAAAGGACACAGTCTTCTCATCTGCAAGAAACAGCCGCCAGCAGCTCTTTTGAGCATGTCTCTCAAGAGGACAGAGAAGCAGAAATAGCCCTGGAGAAGCCAGCTGAGAGGGTCAGTTCTCAGTAGTGGGCTTTACCCAGTTCTGTTATTCTCCAGGCTCCTGCTCTACCCTGGGGGCAATGGATAAAGCACTGGGTATAAGTCAGACACCCCTGAGCTCAGAGTTTACAGTTCATCTTCTTCTCCCTGTCCCCCAAGACAGGATCTCACTACATAGCTCTGGCTGTCCTGGCTTTGTAGACCAAGTTGGTCTTGAATTCACACAGATCTGCCAGCCTCTGCCTCCAGAGTGCTGGGATGACAGGAATGTCCTCTGGCCTCAGCACTCTCAATAGGAAACATTCCATCTATCCAAGGCAGGCCTGACTCTACTCCACAATAGGGCAGATGAGGTTCTAGAAGGTTACAGGTCTATCCAGGCTGGTGCAGACCTTGTGGATAAAGGTGTGATTCCCGACAGCAGGTAAACTTGAGGCTCCTGGAGTCAGCAGTGGTCCTTCTTTCAGGCTCTTAGCACTGCCAGCAGTCAAAGGGCAGTTTAGCAAGCTGGGTTCCGCCCATCAAAATGGCTACCTGACAAACAGGACTGCTGTGGGCTGACCCATAACCCCCAGCAAATTTCATGTTTGAAGTTCTCCCCCACAGGACTTTAGAATGTAGTCATATTCAGAGGACAGATCATTGAAAGGTAGGTCACTGAGCTTGAATTTGAACCCTGGACTAGGTATGGCAATGGCACCTGAAGTCCCTGCTGCTCACAAGACTGGAGCAAGGAGACTGCTTGAGCTGGAAAGGTCGAGACCAGCCTGGACAGCACAGAGAGACCATGTCTCAAAACAAGGAAGTCCTAATGCATATGACAGGCTCTTATGAGATGAAGAAGTGCTGACAATTAGAAAATAGGTGGTCGCAATCTGCAAGCCAAGGACACAGGCCTCTGAGGACAAACATATAGATACCTTGACACTCCAGGCTGAAAACATACAGTTACGTTGCTTAAGCCACCCAGCATTTTGCAACAGCCGCCCGGGGGCACTAACATAGGCACTAACATAGGGGCTGAACTGCAGGTGGGGGCATGCACTGTCATAGGGCAGGAATGAGGCCATGCAGGCAGGCTTCATGAACTGGAATTTCTCCTACTGTATGACTTTGAGCATGTCATTCAACCTGCTTCCCTCACTTCCAAAATGGAGAGAGCATGATGTCTTCTCTGTGAGGTGTTTGGGTGGATGAAACGAGGTGTGCCATAATGGCTGAGCACACGTGTATTGGCATAAACACTCAACAATAAGTATCAGTCATACTACTCATTAATATGAATAGCCACATTATCAGAGCAGCTCTCAGTAGAAGAAACTGGCCAAATGTGCAGGCTAGTTTTTATGTCAACTTGACACAAGCTAGAGTCCCCTGAGAGAAGGGAACCTCAGTTGAGAAAATGCCTCCAAAAGATCCAGCATATGGCAAGCCTGTAGGGCATTTTGAAATTAGTGATTGATGTGGGAGGACCCAACCCATTGTGGGTAGTACCATCCAATGGGCTTGTGGACCTGGGTTTGATTAGAAAGCAGGCTGAGCAAGCCACAAGGGACAAATCAGTAAGCAGCACTCCTCCATTGCCCCTGCAACAATCCCCAGGTTCCTGCCAGGTTTGAATTCCTACCTTGGCTTTCTTCAATGGACTGTGATTCACAAGATATAAGCCAAATAAATCCTTTTCTCCCAACACTGTTTTTGGTCATGGTGTTTCATCACAGCAATACTAACCTCGCTAAGACAATCAGGGGACAAGGTTTGAGGATACGGGAAAAATGAAAAGATTTCAGCGTCTTCTGGCCATTATTTTTGCCAGGCATCTTCACTGGAACTGGAACCCTTTTATGTTCTTGCCTTTCCCCTTGAGATGTTCTAAGAATGAAAGACAATTATGCATGTGTTATGTGTATTCTGA